GACTCACTCCGCTTGCCGGGCGCTGGACAGGAAACTCCTTGCCGGCCGCGGGCAGGACCTCCGAGCCACCCGGCCCGGGCAGCTCGGGGCCGCCCCCTCCGAGGGAGCTGCCAATCGCGGCCAGGGCCCACCCTGCGGAGCGCCCGGCCCACGCCCGGGTCCCCCTCGCTGCGGGTGCCTGGTTCCGCGTGACTGCGTGCACGCGTTTCGCAGTCACAGAAACTTCCTAGCCTTTCCTGCCTCCCCAGGGGAAACCTGGCCCATGCCGCCCGACCTCCCTCTTGGTGCTTTAGGGGAGCCCCAAGTGGAGACCCAGGAGTGCACCCCGAAATCTATAGTCAGTGAGTGCTAAGCACACTTTTTTCTAACACACTAACGACGCTGATCGCTTCCTTGAACTTTAGTTTCCGTTACGTGTATGCACGGGCACATTGCAAAATGTTTGCCTTAGTGTAGGTCAAAGCCCAAAGGTTTTCCTCCAACTTTAATGTGTAATTGATGGGGGGCGGGAGGGGGGAGAGACTCTTGTTGAAATGCCCATTCCGGTTCTGTGGGTGTGGCAGGGAGAATTTTTACTTGACTTTTACCGGATTTGGGGATAATTGCAAATAATCAGCCCCCACAGAGTGATTCTCACGGAGATTATTGTTTGGAGTTAGTCGAATGCCGCGTTTGCAGGCCAAGTATGCAAGAGAAGGTAAGGAATACTTAGCCCTTTAAATAAAAGAGGAAACAGTAGGAAGAGCATATAAACCTTTTCAAACTTTAGTGATACAAACAGCCCGGGTTGCACGTGGGCCATAGGTTCACCAGGACCAGTGAAATCGTTCCCATTTACCTTCCTGCCGGGTCTGTCAGTTGGCTCAAAACAATCATGCTTTGCATCATTTTATAGTTTAAATATTAATAGAGCTTCTTTTTTCTTTTAGGTGTGTCCTGAATTACATCAACCTATTTCCAGCTCTGGAAGCTGCAGTTTCTGGGTGGCCTTCGCTCAGATCTTACAGCTGTTCTACAAAGAATTTCTCCTTTTTTTTTTTTTTTTTTTTTTTTCAAATAGAGAATCAAATTCACCACCTCATAGTGCTTGCCAGTAAGCACTGTGTTTCTGAGCTATATCCCTGGTCCCCCAATGAATTTCTTTACTTGAGGAAAACGTCATTTTTAGAGGCCAATACTGGTTCACTGGGGATAGGATAGGGGCAGATTGGCCTCCCTCAAGCCAGCTTCCAAACTCCTCCCAGTCAATGGATGTCTCAGTTACTGGGACAAATACCCAACACTCAAAATTAGGGAAGGAAAAGTTTATTTAGTTCACAGTTACTGGAGGTTTCAGTCCTTTTTCAGCTCCAAGGCAGACTGGCACATGGCAGAGGGTAGCAGTTTGTGGCTGTGGAAGGTAGCAAAACAGCAAGAACAAAAGAGGGAGTAACAGCAACAGAGAGCAAGTCTGTCTCCCTTATGTTGCATTCAGGCTGTAAACCCCATAATCCCAGCAGTACTCACACTCATAATCCCAGAAGATCATGAGTTAATCACAAAGCCCACCCCACAACTGCATGAGGCTTTGGGGGGACAGCTAGACACAAACCATAACAATGGAAGAGTTCATTTGTTTGATCCTGAAACTTTAAGCTCTCCATCTAACAAGTACCCAAAACTGCCCTGATATGCCCTACAGACAAATGTCACCTCACACCATCACTCTTGGGAGGCAGAAAATGTACCAAAGTCAGAAGGACCAGATGTGTCCCTGACTACCAACAACCTTGCCAAAGCTAGAGCCACTTTAGTAAGGAAGAAAGATTATCTAATTTATGCCACAATCATGGATCTATTATCCCCCCCCATCTTGGTTTTTTTTTTTTTTTTTTTGAGATGGGGTCTAGATGTGTAATTCAGGATGACCTTGAACTCACTATGTAGTTATGTAGCAGGGCTGGCCTCAAACTCCCAGCAATCCTCCTGCCTCAACTTCCTGAGTGCTGGGATTACAGGTGAAGTCTCCCAATCAATCGCCCCCAGGGCCTCGATGGACCCCTTCCTTCAGTTCCTGATGCCAGAGCTGAGTTGAGCTAAAGTAAAATGCAAATCTGTCTATCCCAACTCTTTGATTAAGATTATTTGATGGCATCCCACTGCTGGTGAGATGAAGAAAAGATAGCTATAAAATTCTTGCACTGGGTGTAGTGGATACACCTGTAACCCCACTGCTAAGGGGAGAGATGTGGAAGGATTTTAAATCCAAACCCAGGCTGGCCAATTTAGTGAGATACTGCCTCAAGATTAAAAAAGCACAAAAAGGCCTGGCTCAGTGTGAAGGCCCTCAGCTCTATTCTTAGTACTGCAGAAAAACAAACAAGGGAAAGAGAGAAGAAAAGGAGAGAGAGAGAGAGAGAGAGAGAGAGAGAGAGAGAGAGAGAGAGGAGGAGGAGGAGGAGGAGGAAGTGAAGGTGGAGGAGAGAGAGAGAAGAGAAAGAGAGAGAGAGAGAGAGAGAGAGAGAGAGAGAGAGAGAGAGAGAGAGAGAGAGCCCTTGCGCAAGCCTTCAAGCCCCACCTTCCGGTAAGCTTCCACAGGGCTGCCCCTCCTTGCCCCCTGAGAGCCTGTCCACATTCCTTCAGCATATCTTTCTGCTGTCTTGTGCACAGCTTTCCCCTCTTCTGCCAGTTCCTTCCCTTTTGCCCAGCCAACACCAGCTCTTCCTGATGAAGTCATATCCTCCTGATGGCCAAGCTCTTTGTACCCTTCCCAGTAGACCCATCTTTCATTATAATTTCCGTGGCTCCATAGGCATATTTTAGTACTTATTATAGCTGCAACTTTCTAATTATTTGGATCAATTTTCTAATCATTTGGATCATTCTTTAACTTCTATTCTTCTTCTTCTTCTTCTTCTTCTTCTTCTTCTTCTTCTTCTTCTTCTTCTTCTTCTTCTTCTTCTTCTTCTT